GTCTCTGGGTCCCTGCGTCTCAGCGTCCCCGAGTCCCATGCCCCCACAGTAACAATGATCCCTGTGAGCAGCTCTGCGAGAAAGCTACCCTCGCTTTCTGACACGATGCCAGACAGTCCAGTTTCTCCCTGTAGGAGTCTGGGTCCCCAGAGTCTTGCTGAAAACTGGAGTTTAGAGCAGTCGGGAGCTTGTATCTCCCTTCCAATTGAAAAAAACAGTGCACCCAGTTGCCAGCCCGTTTTGCCCTCCTCCGCACCTCCTACTCAGTCTCAATGAGCTTTTTTCTTTCCTTCTAGTTGTAGAACGTCCACTCAGCTAGCTTTCCTGTGGTTCTGGATGATAGCCGTTTTGTCTTTTAGTTGTAGTTTTGGTGTGGTTGTGGGGGGCAGCACGTACAAGTGTATACCTTATGCCGCCATCTTGATTCTTCTCAGGTTATGCTTTCTTGACAGAAAGACCACAGATGTGATGTTTTGTCATTTCATTTCACATATCAGAGGCATTTTATGTCATTATGCCCCATTATTGGCATTAAATTTGATAGCTTGGTTAGCATGGAATCTGCCAGGGTTCTCCACTGTAAAGTTACTCCTTTCCCCTTTGTAATTAGTATCTTGTGAAAAGATACTTTCAGACTATGTAAATATCTTGTTGCTTCTCAAGCTCCTCCTTCCCTAGTTTTATTATTCATTGGTGATTCTTGTCTGAATCAATGTGTCTGATGGTGTTCAAATGGGGATTTTCTAAGTATATCATTGCTTTTACATACCCTCGAGGATATGAAAAAGGACCAACTAGAAATTAAGCATACACTGACTGAAATAAATAATATTATACAGAGTTCCAACAGCAGACTAGAGGATCGCAAGAATCAAGTCAAAGATTTGAAATACAAAGAAGCAAAAAACACCCAACCAGAAAAGCAAAATGAAAAAAGAATCCAAAAATATGAAGATAGTGTAAGGAGCCTCTGGGACAGCTTCAAGCATACCAACATCCGAATTATAGGGGTGCCAGAAGAAGAAAGAGAGCAAGATATTGAAAACCTATTTGAAGAAATAATGACAGAAAACTTCCCCTACCTGGTGAAAGAAATAGACTTACAAGTCCAGGAAGCACAGAGAACCCCAAACAAAAGGAATCCAAAGAGGACCACACCAAGACACATCATAATTAAAATGCCAAGAGCAAAAGACAAAGAGAGAATCTTAAAAGCAGCAAGAGAAAGACAGTCAGTTACCTACAAGGGAGTACCCATACGATTGTCAGCTGATTTCTCAACAGAAACTTTGCAGGCCAGAAGGGAGTGACAAGAAATATTCAAAGTGATGAGTAGCAAGAACCTACAGCCAAGATTACTTTACCCAGCAAAGCTATCATTCAGAAGTGAAGGTCAGATAAAGAGCTTCACAGATAAGAAAAAGCTAAAGGAGTTCATCACCACCAAACCAGTATCATATGAAATCCTAAAGGGTATTCTTTAAGAAGAGGAAGAAGAAGAAAAAGGTAAAGATAAAAATTATGAACAACAAATACATATCTATCAACAAGTGAATCTAAAAATCAAGTGAATAAAAAATCTGATGAACAGAATAAACTGGTGAATATAATAGAATCAGGGGCATAGAAAGGGAGTGGACTGACAATTCTCAGGGGAAAGGGGTATGGGGAGTGCAGGAAGAGATTGGACAAAAATCTTACACCTATGGATGAGGACAGTGGAGGGGATAAGGGCAGAGGGTGGGGTGGGAACCGGGTGGAGGGGAGCTATGGGGGGGGGGGAAGAGGAGCATCTGTAATAATCTGAACAATAAAGATTTAATTAAAAACACACACACACACTTCACATACTCTTTCTCCTTCCTTCCTTATCTATCTATCTATCTATCTATCTATCTATCTATCTATCTATTTATCTGTCATCTATCCATCCATTTATCTGTCTAAAACCAGATCAGTCTCTTGGTCCTACAAGGTAGATTTCCTAATCTACACTGCACCAGGTTTCATTCTGGTTTGCTCTTTCCCATAACTAACTTTATTCTCACACAGTGAAAAAACCTGGTTCCCATTATCTAATACTTGATTATCAGAAAGTCGTTTCAAAATTGCTAACCCACACCACATGAAAAGAAAGCCCGCTAACTACAATTAAATATTTATTTAAAGTTCTTTTTGTCTTTAGCATAAGGACAAAGCAGTCAAAATACTGTGTTCAAATGTTACAGCGTTGATTTCATTCCTGAATAATTAGGTTATTCAAAACTGTTCTGTTGAAATATTGTTCTGTTAATCTGTTTCTATTCCATCTTAGGGTTTTCCCTATTCCTATTGATCTTATTTATTTTCTCTAAGTATATGAGTCATTAACACAACATACTAAACCAGAACTGTTCAAAAGCTGTGCTCAGAGTAATGTCAGTCCCCCCACCCAGTCCACACTTTTTCTAACCTTTCCATCTCATCCCCATCAATGCCTTGTAGCTAGCCAATCTCAATAGTCCCTGGTTTATCCTTCTTGTGTTTCATCCTGTACAAATAAGCAGATAGATGCATATTTCTTTATTGCCCCTTATTTGTTGCACAAAAGATAGAACACTAAGCAGGCAATACATCCTCCTTTGCACTGTCAAGTATATGTAAGACACCTATGACTTGTGTTCAGTTCTCTTTTGCATTTTCTTGCCATTTCCTGTATATCCCTGATACCACATGACTAGAGAGCTCATGGAATCCTAAGTTCACCGACATAAAACGGTATAAACACAATACAGGTGTAGTTTTAAAAAGTGACTTCTGTCCTCTGCTAGACAAGCATTCTTGCCCAAGGATCCCAGAAGAAGCCTCAAGTCAGTGCAGATGGAAAACACCACACCCAAACCCAAGATCCTCGTTCAAGGAACAGTCATTGTCAGCCAGATGTCCTTTCCTATTACTGGAGCTAGGCACCCAGATGCAAAATAACCAGGGTCTAAAACAAGCAACCTCATGGATTTGTGTAGGTTTACAGATTTAAAAGGAAAGTCAAGCAGGCACTCTCTACACAGGGCCACGACTGCTCCTTCCTACAACTTCGCTTGGCTTGCAGACAGCCCAGTGCTCTGGAGGGAGGTCCCTGGGAGAAGGGCCTATGGGGTCTGTGCTTTCCTGGCAGCTAACGGGATGCACCTGCTCAGAGCCTACAGGACACACAGCGCAGCTGTTTTTCCTCAGCTTGAATAAGTTAGATTTAGCAGGAAAGGAGGAGGGGAAGGAGGAAACAGGAAGAAACAATTCCACACCTGTCCATTTACTTCCCAGGAATTCTCCTTCCAAGAACTCATAAGCATTAGAAAAGACTTGAGTGGAATTAATTTCAGTTCCCTTACTAACACAGGCCATTACCACCTCCCACCTACTGTCCTGGCCTTTCTAGATCCAGAAGACTTGGCTAATACATTATTGGGACATATGTATAACTCCTTTCTGACAAGACCAGACCAACTTAGTGGGGTCAGTCCTGTTCAGATACAGAATGACTGTTTGCCCATTTGTCTGACTGTGGACAATGAACTATAGGGATTCTGCTGCTCAGAAACTTCGGAAGCAAGTAGAGGCTGGAAAGACCTCCTCTGACCCCCAGCCATCTCTGTAGGAATTGGTTATGGAGAGTTTAAGAGGCCCGGAAAACCCCTGGCTGTGAATTCCAGACCTGGTCACAGCATCCTAGGGCCCTTCAGGGTTCAGCCAAGGAGCTGGTCATTGTGAACAGCAGGTCTCCCATCAGCCTGAGCTTCTCGGACCTGCCCCAGCACCCAGTCTGCACCACTGTAAAGAAGAGCATGCTCTCGCACAGAGGCACCAGGCCACCAGCGTGGATGGATGCCCTGTCTCCTGTGTCAAATGGTGAAAACCCACCAGCAGTCCCCAGCTCAGGGGAGACCCCTTATTTCCCTGCCTGCTGCTCAGAGGCTGTGGGATATGGTACAAAAGGAACCAAATTTAGGGTTAGAGTCCCTGCAACTCTGTTGATTTGGGTCAGTTCACTAAGATGACTCTCATCGTCAACGGCCTGGCCTGTACGACAGGGACCTGATAATAGAGATTTCTCTCTTGCAAGGTTTTGGCAAACATTTAGTAAAATAACAGTGATTAATATGTGTTTTAGAAATTTAAAAATGTTCTTTAAAAACTCTGACTGCCTCTCCACAAAGCAAACGATGGCAGACGGTTTATTCCAAAAGTGCAGGCAGGGGCAGCAGCCCCAAGAATGCTGCAAGCCCACCCCCAGGAGTTTATCCGACTGTGTGTCAGCACAGAAAGGGTTAGAAAGAGGTAAGTGCCTTCCGAATTGTCATCTAGATGGGAAAGAAAGAAAAATGCAACACTTAGGAAGAGAGAGTTCAGTGTGACCTGGGATATTGAGAGAAATCTTAGTGAGGATGTGGCGTGCAAACTGCACCTTGAAGGGAGACCCGGTGTGGACAGGAAGAGAGAGAAAAGGGAAGTCATTACATGCATTTGGTATCATCTTTTGGGTGAATCAGGATACTATAAGTTTGTCAGTATTTTTTAATTGGAGTATTAACTATTTCTCAGAAGTAGCTTTTTATCCTGGTGAAAGGCCATTGTGTTTAACGATGTCTAGAGGTGGCAGAGAAATTGCAGAGGCCACACACTGTCCAGCCAGAGTGAACCTCATCCTGGATTCAGCCATCACAAGGCTGTGCAGCTCTGTAGCCCCTCTTGCCTGTAGAGAAATGTATGCTATGGGGCCATGGCAAAGACCCAAGTAGAGTTAGAGGGGGCTCGTGTTTAATGAGCCCCTACCGGGCGCCAGCGATGCACTGAGCTCCTCCAGGCTTTGGTGTTATCATCGGCATTTTACTGGAGAGGAAAGTAAAGCCTTAGAGAGAAGTTCAGCAACGTATCACATAGCCAGGAGCTTAACTCTTTGGAAATAAATGAGAACAAACACTTGCAGGTGCTTTTATTTTGTGGGTCTGCTTTGCATTCCTCAGGTGTCTCCATGGAAGCCATCCTGAAACTCTTTGGAGAATACTTCTTTAAATTCTGTAAGAAGTCTGGCTATGACAGGATGTTACGAACACTGGGAGGAGATCTCACGGAGTTTATTGAAAACCTAGATGCCCTCCACAGTTACCTTGCACTTTCTTATCGGGTAAGGCGATCTGAGGCTGGTCTTGGCGGTCCTGAGAAGAAGTGCCTGTAGGCGTTCTGGGTCATCCGGGGGCCATCTCCCTGCCTCCCCCCAAAGCAGGCAGTTGCAAGGGGCCTGCAGAATCCTTGGTACCTGGTGTCAGTGGACTGAAGAGTTTTCTTGGGAAAGGAATGGAAAATGTGTACCTGCTGACCACTTTTATAAAACAGTCAACCCTAAAAGAAGGGCAAGCTAGAGAGGTCAGCTTTGTGGTGGAGGATGACCTGTTTAATGGGGCTGGTGTGGGTTTGGAATTAAGTCTAGAAGATTGATCACCACGGAACTAAGGCTGGGTAACAGCCAGGTTTCAGTGGATTTGCAAAATCTCTCCTCAGGTTTCCTGGCCTTGATGGAGCTGATAAAAAGCTTCTGTAGCCAGATTCATTTATTCATGTATCAGAAGGAAAGACTTGGCAGGGCCAAGAGCCGGAATCGGACACTGTCCAACTCCGATTAACCCATGGAGTGACTGCTTGAGGTTTTAGCAAACCAATTTCCCTATTGGGGAGTGTCCTGGAGTTCATGCCTTGGTTTTCTTGTTTGTAGAGATCATCAAAAATTCAAACACTTAGACTCCCTTTTCTATGTTAGGAAATAAAATGTTTTAGTGAAAACATGAAGCGACATTTACACATATCATAATAATAGTTCATTATTTTATATTAGTTTACATTTATTTTAGGGCCCTTTATAGTTTACCATTTTTGTATTTAATGCTTATCACCACCTTTGAAGGACTGTCGTGAGGATGAAATGAGATAATGTATGCTAAAATGTCTCATGAATCATAGTGCACCCTTACAGATGTTAAAAGGGAAAAGTATTATTTCCTCCAGTTTCCAGAGAGGGAGTAAGAGGCTTAGAAACCTTAATTGACTTCTAGTAGGATGAGTAGCTGGGTCTGTCTTGTTGTTACAATGTGAAGAACTCAAGAATGGAGACAGTGCCCAGCTGGTGTGGCTCAGTGGTTGAGCATTGACCTATGAACCAGGAGGTCATGGTTTGATTCCAGGCCAGGGCACATGCCTGGTTGCAGCCTCAATTCCCAGTGGGGTGCATGCAGGAGGCAGCTGATCAGTGATTCTCCCTCATCATTGATGTTTCTGTCTTTCTCCCTTCCTCTCTGAAATAAATAAATATCCTATATAATAAAAGCCCAGTGGAACAACCAGTTAACCAGTTGCTATGACACGCACTGACCACCAGGGGGGCAGCTGCTCAGCGCAGGAGCTGCCCCCTGGTGATCAGTGTGCTACCACAGCTCAGCTGACTGGGATGAGCGGCTGCTCCCACTGCGAACCCTGGGCCCATGGGCAGGAACCCAGGCTGCGATCTTCGCCTCCTCACCCCAGGCTCCTCCTCCTCACTACCTGCCTCCTCCTCCGGAAGCCCACAGGCCGCGCAGTGCTGCCGCAGGACTCGCAGAGCTGACCCCAGAGGTTGGGAGGCAGGTTCGTGGCCTGGCCACCGTGGGACTGAGGCCTACTCTGCCGCCTCTCAGTGCTATTGTCCCTGGCCCTGGCCCTGACCAGGTCCCCTGGAGAGGCGAGTGCTACGGCTCGACGGAAGATGCCAGACCAGGGAGCAGCTGCTCAGAGGGCAGGTCCACAGCCGCTCGGCTCGGCTGACCGGGATGAGCGGTGCTCCCACAGCAGGCTGATCCCCACAGGCCACGCCCCCCCACCAGTGCACGAATCCCATGCACCAGGCCTCTAGAATATACATATAGATTAGAGAGAGTGAAAGGATCCCTGGCTAGGAGGTCAGACACTGCCACTTCCTGGCTGGTGATTCCAGACAAGTTAGTTGCCCTCTCTGGACCTCAATTTTTTCACATATTTATTGAATAAATATGTATTCAGCACCTACTTTGTGCCAAGCACTTTCTTAGGCATTAGACACAGTGAAAAAATAGAATAAATAGGCGGGGAGAATCCTACCTCATAGTGATGTCTTGATTAAAGAGATAACATGTGGAAGTCCCCAGCATTGTAATTAGGCCAGAAGGAGCATTCCATTTTTAATGACTTTCTTACTTCCCCTTCCTTTTCTCTCCAGTCAATATGGCTAGTTTTAAAATTCTGATAATTTATGTTGTAACTTACTGTCAAATTTCTTAGCTAAAGCTCTACAATTAGAATATAAAGAAATATAGTTAGACCCTTTCAATAATCTTTCATAATACTTTTTAATATCATATCTTTCATCTGAAAATTTGGCTAATACTTTATGCCACAGCCCTGGAGAACATAGTAATATGTTCTTCCATTTATTCATTATATCAAAAACACTATGGAATATATTTTATGTTCCATATATTGTTCTCAGCATGTTACTGTCACTAATATGATAAGAGGGAAAGACATCGAGGTTCTGAAATCCCCAAGTCTACTGTTTCTATACCCATTTCCGCTACCCTTCCTCTGGTAGTTATTCCTTCATATGTCAAAACCAATGCTAAAGAAGCAGTTAATAGAACTTCTCTAGGGGTAAGTGAGGATATTTTGCATAAGATAAATAAAATACATAAATGTTGCCATATGCAAGTTGAAATAAAATACATGGCAATGATAACTGATAGCTATGTAGTGCTGCTTTATACTCAGCAAAATATTATCGATTGTCTTTTTAGGTAAAAGTAAAATAATGTTAGCTTTTCTTTATGTTTGTCTCTAATAATTTGGCAGTCCCTTACAGGCATTCATTTCTGGTTATAACTAGTTAACTTTTACTGAGTGCTAATTATGAGACAGGTATTGGGCTAATTTATAAACATTGAATTATCCTCTTAACCCCTAAGATTAGGTACCTTTACTTTTCCCACTACACAGATGAGAAAACTGATGTCCAGAATGGCCAAGTAACTGTTCTAAATCGCCCAGGTTGTGGTAGCTGAGCTAGTACCCAAATCCAGGTGTGGCTGACTCCAAAACCCATGCTCCAGTTTGCTTCTCATTACTTTCTCTTTGCTCTGATTCTCCACTTCCATAAAGCCCTATCTTAATAAAAAAATAACAGTATAATTATGTTATTCAGAGCATTGGAGCCACTGATCAGAAGAATTGAAAGCTCAAACTTTGAGAAGTATCTCTGGGAAGTGTCCTAGGCTGGGAACGAGACGTGAGGGGGGAAATAGTCACAGGAGTTGGTCTATTTTTAATTTAGTCCTTCTATACCCCTTTATTTTTCCCACTATGCAGGGTTTGGATATAATTTTTAAAAAAATAACTTTTAATTTCCTGTTTTATCACATAATTTTATATGTGATACTTCAAATCTTTTTTATATTCTGTCAAGATACAAACACACACACATACATGCATACATACATGCATTATCTCTATGTATATACTTTTGGAAAGATAAAATAATTATTTTGGGGAAAACTTCTCATTTTAACTGGCAACTCTCCCAACACACACACACACACACACACACACACACACACCTCCCACACATCCACTCCACCATGGGAGAGAGCAAAGATCTCAGAAAGAATGCACCTCATGCACCTCAATCTGTTCCTTCACTCAGACCAAAAGCTGTGAGCCAGGGTGCTGAGCTGCCTGCTCATCAAGCAGGGACCCCTCTCCCCCGACAGAGTCCTCATCCTCATTTCCTGACATTCGTCTAACGGGACATGGTGCATTCTTGGATGGCAACGCTTATTCCTGGAGAAAGATGATCTCTGCTGATGTATCCTTGATGTTTCAAATGTGAAAATTTTCACTACACAGGACATTATTCTTCCAGAACAAGAAATAAACTCTTCTCCACTTGCAAATTCCTCTGAGCCCCTGATCTTTCTGAGAGTGAAGATATCCATGGTAACTTGGTCACAAACCAAGCATAGCAACCCTTGGAGTGAGGGGAAAGCAGCATGATAGGTGGAAAGGCTTTGTGAGGGTCAAAATGTTGTCCCATTATTAATTTAGCTTTAGTTGCCGAAGCCTCAGTTTCCTCCTCTTTAAAATGAAGGTCATACTTGCATATATAGTTGGTTAGGGAGTTAGTTATAATATACATTCCTGACATATAGGGGCCATGGTAGATTTTATTTTTGTATGAGTAGGGGGGGTTGGAATATAGTTCTGTGTGCTGTAATGGATAAGTACTTTTGTTTCACAAAGCCTTAAGAAGCATAATTTAAACAACTTGCATTCACTGGGAAAAACATGCTGTGTCTTTTAATTAGGAGATGAATGCACCATCGTTTCGTTTGGAGAAAGGAGCAGACCAGGAAATGCTTCTCCATTACTACTCTGATAGAAGTGGTCTGTGCCACATTGTACCAGGTATGGGGACAGCTTAACCCGTCCCACAGCTATGAGGTCTCGGTGGCTTTCCCCACAAATTCTCCAGATGGCTCAGAGCCAGCTGTGGGCAGGAAGTTACACTCCATCTCTTCCAGTGTCTGATGCTTTACCAACTTGACCATTATTCCCAAAGTTCTGAGTCTTTAAAATAAGTTTTCAAAGTGCCAAAAAAAGGAATAATTTTCACTTTTATATCAACATTGAAAATTAGGCTGGTTTTTACATAGTTGTAATAATTCTGCATATATTCTTTTGTATCAACCTTTTTTTTGTATTCAGCATTATAGAAAAATCATCCTCCCATGTTCGTACGGTCTGCAAAACCACCATCTATGGATGGGGTTTGTGCATCTCCAATATTCAACATTGTAATTAACCAATCCCCTATTTTTGATATTTTAGTTGATACCATTGTTGCTATTGTAAACAGTACTGTGATGAACACCTTCAGGCATGCTTTTACCTTTTTTATATAACCCTGGGTTAGATTCCCAGAGGAACGCTTTAAAAACATGATCCTTAATGCTTTTACAATGAATTTTGATTACATTATTTCCAGAGTTCATTTAATAGTTAAATACTTCCCTGAAATAAACCAGCACACAAAAGATGCTTAATTTAGAGTGGCAGGGATATACTTGTATAGTCATGTATAGTTTAAGCCATGTATAGCTTAAATCTCTGTAAAGTTATTTTATTTTTTAATTTTATTAATATCTCATATGCTGCTTGTCTTGAGGCAAGGCACAGACCTGGTGAACTCTGGAATATTCATCAGAAGTTGTATAACTTGATTATTATTTTTTTTTGCTGACACACTGCCTTCTGCCATCCCTCACTAACAGGTGTTCTTCTGCTGGCTACAGGTATCATTGAAGCTGTGGCCAAAGACTTCTTCAACATTGATGTGTCCATGGATATACTTGACATGAATGAGGAAGCGGAGAGGACAGGGAAGATGGAGCACGTTGTGTTTCTGATTGTGCAGAAGCCTCACAGACAGATAAGAAGAGCAAAGCCAAATAGGTTACAAGATGGTCAGGACATCCAGAGAGACCAAGAGGTACTGGGTTTGCTGTGTCCTCAAAAAGCATAGTCCCTCCTAGTAGGAGAGTCAACTGCACCTTCTACTAGTGGATTAAGTCAGGGTTTCTCATTCTTAGCTACTGACATTCTGGACTAAATAATTCTTTGTTGTGATGGACTCTCCTGTGCATTATAGGATGTTTGGCATCACCTCAGGTCTCTACCAATTAGATGCTAACAGCACCCTGCCCCCGAATTGTGGCAATCAAAAATATCTTCAAGCATTGCCAAATGTCCCCAGCTAGGGGTATGGGACAAAATCACTCCTAGTTGACAACCACTTGTTTAAGGTAACCTAAATATGTGTTGGGAAGTTTTCTGGGGTATACCTTAGCCTGGAAAATTTTCACCTATAAAAATACTAATATAAAGGTTTTGAAATTTGACCCTGTGGCTTATTTTGCAACCTTTCTGAAATAAACTGACCTTTCAAGTCCTTAGTGCCCATTTATGCAGCTGGGACCAGTCAGGGGTCTGGAGTGAACTCATGATCCTGTGGTTGGCTACCTCAGTTGTGACTTACAGATGTTCTATTATCTGTTTAGGCATCACATATGTTAGATGCACAGCTCTCTATCCACATAGCTTGTACAAATATCCAGATAAGCCTGTGATTCCTGGAGCACACAGTGTTTATATCTTACATCAAAGCCCACCTCAAGTCTGTTCACTGCAGAATCTACAACCATGGGAAGAGAAGATGACCATGTGTGATTTCCTGCCAGCCCACTCTTATAAAAGGTTCTTGCTGCCTTTGAGAGAGAACCAGCCTGAGGATTACTTATATAAAAATCTCAGGGTTTACAAAGTCTTGGTAGGATTGACCTTGCAGCTCTTGCTGTTCCTGTGGCCCCAATCACAGCAAAAGGGGCTTGTGCATCTCCAGTTCCATGACCAGTCATGTGACCAGGCGCACATGCTTCTCTCCCTGTCACTGCAGGCCCTCCAGGCAGCTTTCCTGAGGATGAAGGAGAAATATTTGAGTATCTCTGTTTGCCCTGTGAAGAAATCTCGCTGGGAAGTTGTGAGAAGTATAGTCATGTTTGGAAAAGGTGAGTGGGCTATTCTTCCAACCTTGGCTCCCAAGAGTGATTGCACACAAAAGGGCAAAGTCCTCAATGATTGTTATGTCCCTGATTCTGCAGAATTTGGCTTTGGCTGGTATGGTTTTTAAATTTAAAATGTCAGATTCTAACTTGCCTCCCTTTGCCCCCTTGATTTGTGCTGGGTGACATGGAGAAACAGTTTCCCCTGTAGTCAGAGAGGATTGGAATCAGCCCTACTGGGTGACTGTGCTGAAGAGAAGGAAGATGAGTACTGACATATTATCAAGAACAATGAATTGTCCATGGCTCCTCAGGCCTTCTGCACTGGCATGCATTTCTGGCCTAGAAGTCTGTGATTAATAAGTATGGTGTCCAGTAATGCAAAGGACACTGAATCAAGAGGCAAGAGAGCAGATTTCTGGCTCTGTCCCTGGGGAGCTGTGTAATCTTGAACAAGGTCCTTCATCTTCCATCTGAAAAGTGAAGGCAGTAGTCTCTCTGCTGGCTGGTCTCCGGATCAGCACCTAAAGCCTGAATCAGAATAAGGGTTCTGACCCACCAGGAGAAGGGAGCTAGCGTGTCCTCATCAAGTCCCCCTGGATCATGATGACATGCATCTGGGAGAAGGTCTGCAGGGCTCAAAGGGCTGCATTTTAAGTCCCTCAAGCCATGGCAAGCTACTCAAACACACAATTGACATCCTTTGTCTAAGACATTTTCATATCAAAAAGGCTCCATTTAGAATCTCTACCCTCTGCCAAATAGGGCTGTTGGTTAAATTTTAATGTGTCACCCAAAACTGTCAGTCTCAAAAGCTCCATGGCAAATGTCCCTGACGCTGGGCCCGGCACACACACTCTGCTCTGTGAGCTCATTGTCTGGCTGTCACTGTTTCAATGCAGACTCTCTTTTCATGGCGAGACATAATTGGCCTAGAAACTCTTCAGCGGCAGGCAGAAACTTGGCGGGGGCAGGGGCACTTCTCAACCTGGTAGCAAGTTTTCCGTTTGTTTTAATTTGGAAGAGGAATTGCCATGGCCATCTGGAGATGCAGAGGGAGCGTGCAGAAGAGTGGGGACTGCACTTTGCCTGGGAAACATTTAAGATACTCTCCTGAGCGCCACTCTGTGCCAGGTTGGTGGCGCAAGTGGTCTGTGAACAGGACTCTCCTTTTTTTACATCCAGGGCATCTCCTGAACACCTTTGTGCCGCTTTATCCCGAGCAGCTCTGGATTGAAGTTAAGACATTCTGCAATGCTTTTCCTTTCCACGTCGTATTTGATGAATCAGTAAGGGGCCCTTTTTCTCTGGAGCTTGGATTGGGGATACTCTGGGGACCTGAGCATGTTGTATAGTCATTCTGGCTGGTAGTGACTTTTAAGTTCTTGAAGAGTGCCCAGGGTTTGGGAGACCAGGACTTAGCTGCATAGGACCGTTGACTTCCTTTTCATTGTGGCAGCCTCCAGAAACCAGATGCAGAATCTTCTTGGTAAATATGGGAGGAAGCAGCGCCAAGAGGTCTGAACTAGTGAGTGCATAAGAAAGTTTGCCACTAGAGAAAAAGGAAGTGACACTAAAATTCACAATCCCAAGAAATAAGGGAACGCTGTCATTAGCAATGGCAGAGGAATTCTAAATGTGACCACTCATCAACCTTGGCCTCCATGGGTGTGCCAATCCGACTTTACTTTCTGCAACTTGAAGGTGGGAAGAGGTCAGTGGCATAAGTTGGCCACTGTGGGTGTTGTGAGAATGACCATTAACAAGTAATGTTTGTTCATTTTCAATTCCCTTGGATAAAACATATGTCAACTAAATTGATTATGAACTCATTAAAAGGCCAATTAGGCAAAGTAAATTTGGCCCAAAAGATTAGTTAACATGCTATCAGCCATTGTGACTCTCTCTGTTTTTTATTTGAATGCATAAATATGCTAAATCACCACTTATGAGTGAACTTCTGGTTACAGAGTCTATGGCATTTACTCACTTGAGGATCATCTATGCTTGCAAAGAATTTATCTAATTGAGGAAATCAAACACCCCATAAGAACTAACTAGGAAATTATAACGCAATATACCTCGGTTTTCCCTAATGTCCCGAGGATATTATTATTGCTACTATTAATATTTTAAATTCTGATTTACTTTTAAAAATCCATTTATCTTTAAGTTTGGGGAATAGAATAACAGAAAATTTAATAATACTAATTCAATAGGTTAGGTTGATTTCTATAGCCTCCCAAAGTCCCCATGGTGATAAAGCTAAGTATGCTTGGACAGCTGGTACTAACAGTGGGCATTTCATGTAAAGGGTGCTCACCTTGCTCCTTCCTTCTGTGTGTTCCCTGGACCCAGCCTGCATATCAGGTCCAATGCGATATAATTTGCTAGTTTCTTTATTAATTAATTCTAAACAGAGGAAGAGAGAGAAGTCTCACAGAGCTAGGGAAGCACTATTAGCCCAATTGAGAGCTTTAACTTCTGTTTCTTGTTAGTCAGAGATATGCTTTTGAGCACTTCAATACTATTGTTTTCTCTTTCAGAGATTAGCTGCGGATTTGAGTTTTAAAATAACATTTGTTACTTCCCTGGTGTTTATTCCATTATTGACGCCCCTCACTCCCCCCCCTCCCCCCCCCCCCCGCCCCCGGCCAGTGAGTCACACAGCATGGCCAGAAAGATAGTTCTAAGGGAACATTAATGGTGCAGGTTGCTTTCCATTCCTTAGTCTTACATCTGTCCTCTGTGCATAGCTGAGGGTCAAGCAAATGGGAGTGAATATTCAGAAGTATGTCCCAGGACTCCAAACACAGAAGATTCGATTAGATGAATATTTCTCCATCACTCATCCTCAAGTCACCTTCAACATTTCCAGCATCTGCAAATTTATCAACAGTCAATTTGTCCTGAAGGCACGGAGAGAAATGATGCCCGAAGCATGGAAACGTCAACCCACGCTCAAACTCCGAGGTAGTCACTCAGCCCTTCCCCCTTGCCCTCTGCTGTTTGGGAGATTGGTTAGACATGAAAGAGGCAGAGCCTTCCAATTTCCTGAAAAAAGTTGGATAAAAAGTGGGGCAGGGATTGCATTCAGAACAGTTACTTTTCTTACATTTCTATTTGGCTTGATCTGTTAGCAATATATTTTATTTCTTCAATCAATTCTGGTTTAGACACAAATGGACGCTAGTTATATATCATCCTACTATAAAAAAAGACAGACATTAAATTAGTACCAGTAGTACCATCTGCATTATATGGCATGTTTTATAAAATATTAAAATATATTTTATTTTATATAAAATGAAATTGTGGCCTCTGTTACCAAAATTTTTAGAGTGTACATGGTACTATTGGTACTAATTTAACATCTGTATTTTGTATAATAACCTGATCATTTGACCTATAGTTAATAGGGCACACATTTTGCTTTCATTTTAGTTTCTTTGTGATAAATTTTACATAACATAAATACAGCAAATCAGACATTTAAAAAGCTACTACAAAGATTAAAGAAAGTATCAAATTCAATTCAAACTATAGTAAATAGAGACGCAAAAAACATAAAAGTTCTAAAATATGGCAACAATGACATGAAATGAGGGGGAGGTGTAAAAATGTATCAATGGCTATATGTAAATAAACTGCTATACGTAAAGAATGGAACACATAAACCTCATTGGAAGCCACAAACCAACAACTTATAAAAGATATACAAAGAATAAAAAAAGGATATGAACAAAAAGGCTCTATTGAAAATAAACAGACAAAAAGAACATAAAGGAAGAGGTTAAGGGGGGAGGGAAAGGAACAGAGGAGAACTATAAAAACAACCAAGACAATTAACAAAACGGCAATAAGTACATGCTTGTCAATAATTACTTTAAATGTAAAGGGATTCAATGCTCCAATAAAATGGCATAGTTAAGGTGGCTGAATGAATTAAGAAACATGACCCATTATATATTGCCTACACGAGACTCACTTCAAATCAAAAGACACATACAGACTGAGAGTGAACAAATAGAAAAAGATATTCCATGCAAATAGAAACAAAAAAGAAAGCTGAAGTAGCAATACTTACATCAGACAAAATAGACTTTAAAACAAAAGTGGAATCGCTAGGTCTTATGATAATTCTGTTTCTAATTTATTGAGGAATTGCCATATTGTTTTCCAAAACTGCTGTACATTTTAAATTGCCACATGGAGTGCACAAGAATCCCAATTACTCCACATCCTCATGACCACTTGTTATCTCCTGCTTTTTTGTTTTCTGTTTGTTTGTTTTTTATAATTGCTATTCTAATGGATTTTAACTATCTCATTATGGTTTTGATTTTCATTTCCCTAATGATTGAGCATGTTCTAAAATATTTTTTAATTGATTTCAGAGAGGAAGAAAGAAGGAGAGAGAGATAGAAACATCAATGATGAGAGAGAATCATTGATCAGCTGCCTCCTGCACACCCCATACTGGGGATTGAGTCTACAACCTAGGCATGTGCCTTGACCAGGAATTGAACTGTGACCTCCTGGTTCATAGGTCGATGCTCAACCACTAAGCTACACCACCCAGGGTGATTGAGCATATTTAATGTGTGTATTGGCCATTTGTATATATATTTTTAGAGAAATGTCTATTCAAATCCTTTGCTCATTTTTTAATTATTTTGTTTTTCTGTTGTTGAGTTGTAGGAGTTCACTAAATATTCTGGATATTAACCCCTTATCAGAAATATGATTTGCAAGTATTTTCTTCTTTTCCATTGGGAGGGGGGGGCATTTCACTCTGTTGATTGAGTCCTTTGATGCTCAGAAGTTTTACATTTTGATGTGATCCAACTTATCTAATTTTTTCTTTTATTGACTGCTTTTGGTGTCACATAGAAGAAATCATTGCCAAATCCAATGTCATTCAGGTCTTCTGTGCTTTCTTCTAAGAGTTTTATCGTTTTACCTCTTACATTTAGGTCTTTGATCTATTCTGAGTTAATTTTTATATATGGTGTGAGAGGGGACACATTTTGAGCTGTCTTTTTATTAAACTTGTAATTAGGTGTTCTCGGTATAAACAGTAGAGATACCTGGGAGGAAAATGATGTGCTCTGGGACTCCCAAATGAGTTGTGGAGTAGAGTGATGGGTGATGAGGCTGCAAGATGAGGACCTGAGCTCTACTGTGCAGTTGGGAACATTTTTAAGTGTCTGCCATGTCCAGATTTGAGGTTTAGGATGATCACTCTGGAGGCATCTGAAGGATGGCCCAGAGAGTAGGGAATTGGAGCACTGGAGGCCAGGTGGAAGCTGCCACTGGAGAACAGGTGGGAAGCTTTAAAGCACTGAGTGCACTCAGGCAGTGGCACTGGGTGGTGATCAGGGAACAGAGGCACAACATAATTAAGGCAGAAATTGGTGACTGGATGTAGGAGTTGAAAACGAGTACTTAGGATAATTATTAATTTTCTTGCTTGGGTAACTGGATGATGAAGGTGATTAACGGAGAAAAGATATGAAGTAAACTCCTTGAGAGCAGAAACTTTCATCAGTTTGAGTCACTGCTACATTCTCAATGTCTAAGACCACGTGCCTGGCTCATAGCAGGGACTAAGTGCATATGTTGTGAAAGAATTAATAAAGAAAGAGAAGATGGGCAGAGGGGATAAAAGGTGAATTCAGTGATATCTATGTATATAAATACTTAATAGGTATTTTAAAAATCACTGTTAATGGGAGTGTAAATTGTCACAATCTCTTTAGAGGGCAATTTAGCAATATGTATCAAAGCCTTAAAATGAACATATTCTTTGTTTCAGGAATTTCCTGTATAAAAATATATCCTTTAACATAATAGCCATAATTATACACAATGAGTTACTTTAAGTTACTTTCTCATTGAATGTTGTTTAGATCAGTAAACGAGATGGAATATAATCAATTCTAGCTTATTGCTTAAATGTCATATACGTGTAGCCAGCAAAAATGATGCATATCTACATTTAATAACATGGAAGAATATCTATTATATATTTTAAATGAAAAATGCAGATTTCAAAAAGAAGATGCCAGATAACTTTTTGGGGAGGTGGGGGAGGGCCTATAAAAATATATATTACATAAAGTACTATGCAGCTATAAAAAAGAAGGATTTCTTACCCTTTGAGACAGCATGGAGGGTATTATGCTAGGCAAAATAAGCCAGTCAGAGAAAGACAAGTATCACATGATCTCACTCATATGTGGAATCTAATTAACAAAATAAACTGATGAATAAAATAGATGCAGAGACATAGAAGCATGGACCAGATTGATGAATCTCAGAGGAAAGTGGGTGGTGGGGGAGGTGGGGATAGATTAACCAAAGAACTTATATGCATACTAGAGGCCCAGTGCACGAAATTCGTGCACTCAGGGGGGTCCCTCAACCTGGCCTGTGCCCTCTCATAGTCCAGGAGCCCTCAGGGGACATCCGACTGACAGCTTAGGCCCGCTCCCCCTGGGAGCCTAAGCTGTCGGTCGGACATCCTTAGTGCTGCTGCAGAGGTGGGGAGGCTCCTGCCACTGCCACTGTGCTCGCCAGCCATGAGCCTGGCTTCTGGCTGAGCATGCTCCCCCTGTGGGATTGGGCCAAAACCAGCTCTCCGACATCCCCTGAGGAGTCCTGGATTGCAACAGGGTGCAGGCCAGGCAAGGGACCCCACCAGTGCATGATTGAGGCTGGGAGAGACGCGGGAGGTTGGCCAGCTGGGGAGGGCTCCAGGGCATGTCCAGCCCCTCTCGCTCAGTCCCGATCAGCCAGACCCCAGCAGCAAGCTAACCTACCAGTCAGAGTGTCTGCCCCCTGGTGGTCAGTGCATGTCATAGTGAGCAGTTGAGCTACCTTAACATATCATTAGCATATTACGCTTTGATTGGTTGAACGGCCAACTGGTTGACCGAACACTTAGCATATTAGGCTTTTATTATATAGGATATGCATAACCCATGGACACAGATAATAGTGTGGTGAAGGCCTGGTTAGGGGGTTGTGGAGGTGGACAGGTGAGAGGTAGAGAGGGTCAATGGGAGAAAAAAAGGGGACATCTATAGTACCTTCAACAATAAAGAATCAAAATTTAAAGAATAATAGCCCTTGCCTGTTTGGCTCAGTGGTTATAGCTTCAGCCCTTGAACTGAAGGGTCAAGGGCAAGTACCTGGGTTGCAGGCTCAATCCCCGGCCCTGGTCGGGGTGCATGTGGGAGGCAATCAATCGATGTGTCTCTCTCATATTGATGTTTCTCTCTGTGTCTCTCTCCCTCCCTTCCACTCTCTAAAAATCAATGGAAAAAAAGATCCTTGAGTGAGGATTAACAAAAAAATAAAATAATAATAATAAAAGTAAAAATAAATAAATAATAATAAAAGAAATAAAAGCAGACGTATACTGCAAAATATTAACAGTAATTATGTGGTGGAATTCTAAGCAAATTTTTGTCTTCCACATTTTCCTTTTTTGCAGTGGATGCACATTACTTTTATACTAAAACAATAAGCATACATATTTTTAAAGAAATGTGCATATTGAGTCTGGGAAGCAAGTTTTCCTCTCCATACAGACTCATTGTCAGCATGGTGTAGATGAAGTTGTGGAATGCTAAAAGAGAAGACTACCAAAACAGAACCCTGGGGAACACCAACATTTAATGAATGAACAACAACAACAAGCCTAAAGGAATAATTGAAAGAAGTAGGGAAACCTCAGGGAGAAAGCAGTGTCAGGGAGGATGGCCTGCTTCACACCAGCAAACAGCATATTGGCTGAGGAAGGGAAAGACTGGCAGGCTTGTGTAGGAGCAGGTGTTTGGAGGCCATGTAGAGAGGGGGAGATGAATAAGTGGAGGCAGGAAGTATAGATAACTTTCACGAAATTTGACTCAAATGGAAGGAGTGAGACTGTGCCCTGGCTAGAAAGGCTCACTATGTGGTGATGGTCTGGGAGCCAGGTCCTCTCCTGTTGGTGACTGGCTTTCTTGTCACATTTCTCTCCGTGATGGCAAGGCCAGATGATCTGGATGGAGTCCGTGCGGTGCATGATATACCTGTGCTCCCCGAAGCTCCGCAGCCTGCAGGAGCTGGAGGAACGCCAGATGCATCTTTCTGACCTCGCCCCCCACGACACCACCAGGGATCTCATCCTGCTGAACCAGCAGCGACTGGCTGAGATGGAGCTGTCCACCCAGTTGGAGAGGAAGAAGGAAGAGCTGCGGGTCCTCTCTAAACACTTGGCCATAGAAAAGAAGAAAACAGAGACCTTGCTTTATGCCATGCTACCCGAACATGTGGCCAACCAGCTGAAGGAAGGCAAAAAGGTGGATGCAGGTAAGGCCCTCCCTTCCTGTCACAGGACCTCCGAGTGTGAGGCAGTAAGGTGGATGCAGGTAAGGCCCTCCCTTCCTGTCACAGGACCTCCGAGTGTGAGGCAGTGTGCCTTAGACTCAAGGGTATAGGATCTGAAACCAGGCAGATCTGGATTTGAATTCTGGCTCCATCGCTTCTGAGCAATGTGATCTTGGGTTATATATCCTCCGTTTTCTCCTGTCTACTTTTGAGAATAATAAAAGTAATACAGAAGTGAAATAGGGATTAAATAAAAATGCCTGTCAGCTACACCAGCATATAGAATGTTCCCCAGAAATTTAAAGCTGCATCCGAAGACTGGCCTTTGCTCAGTGGCCATGAATAGAGTTCTTCACTATGACTGGAAATGGGGTGCCTCTTGGGGCCCTTCTGGGAGAGCAAGCTATTTCTGGAAGGAAGAATCTTATGTTCATTCTGAACTTTCCATTTGTAGTGGGCATGTGTTCATTCACCATACATGCAAGGTGAACTTACTTAGTGCCAGGGTGCTATTCCAGGTCCTGGGAACACAAAATAGTTCATAGTTTTGTGGGTTTGAGAGATATACATGGAATAAATTAGTGGGGGAGGGCATGGGCATGGCCAAAGGAAAGGAAATGAACATTCATTTAGGAGCAAGAATTGTGCCAGAATCTGTTATTTTATGTTTGCTATTTCATTTAATTTTCTGAATATTTCTAGGAGGGGGGTGTTATTTATCCATACTGTACAGCTGAGCTAATTTACATTCACCCCAGCTTATGAGTAAACCAATAAGTTTATCTAATTCAAAAATTCATGCTCTTTCTACCACATAAGGTGCTGTGGAAACACAGATAACAGGGAAATTAAGAATAAATAGGTGGTGTTGTGAAGGCTTATATAAAGTGTGTGGCACTTGAGTTGGGCCATGAGGCTGAATATTAGCAAAAAAGGCGGGGACACTTGGGAGAGTGAGATGGTAAGAGGAAAGACAAGGTCACGTAAAAATAAATACTATAGGTATTGTCCTTAGAACATGGGGGTACATGGCAAAGTGGTGCCTTATGAGGCTGGCAGATGGGATGAGGCTTAGGTGATAGAGTGATGAATCTGGATTACCATGGGAATGAAAATTGTTTTATATTTTAAATGTGGGAATTCAATAAAGTATTTTTCCTATAATGGAAGTGATATGATTAGCTTTGTAAATATAATTTGGTTACAGTGCAGAGAACACATGTGAGGGAGGCACACGGAGAGCCCATAAAAGTGCAGTTCAGTGGTGAGAAAGGCCTGAAGTAAGACAGCATGAGTAGGAATCAGGAGGATTTCATAACTGATAAGATGGGGAAGGCAAAAGATAGGAGTCAGTGATGAGTGTAAGGGTTATAGCGGGGAAAGATGTGATACTTTATCGTAAGACAGAACAGAGAGAATAGGCTTGAGAGCAGCAAAGCCCGGCCAGTTTTAGAGCTGTTGAGTGTGAAATGACTGTGGGATGCTCTCTATAACATGACCAACAGGCGGTCAGGAATCGTAGGGAGAGCTCAACGTATGTTCTAGGACAAAGATCTGGGGGTTATCCCAGGGTGGATGGTAGTTCATCATAGACCCTATGAATGATGGAGAAGGTCACCTAGGGGGCATGAGGTGAAAAGAGAAGACAGTTTGTATTGAACTTTAGGGGACACCTATTATGTAAAAAGGGGGGAAAGTCAGTGAAATATATTTAAAAAGGAGATGATAAAAGTAGGAAGAATATAGAGAGAATGGTAGGCCAGAAGCCACAGGGAATAGAAAGTTAGATGAATGGGATATTATTACCATAGGTACGAATAATACAGAAGGCACCCAGCTCTGGTCAAAGAGCTATCCATATAGTCATTCAACACATACTTACTGAGCTTTTACTCTGTACCAGGCCCTGCTCCAGGTGCCAGGGTTACAGCAGAGTTCAAAACAGTCTCTCATCTCATGAAGCTTATGTTTCAATGAAGGAGATAGGCAATACCCTAATAAACAATCTTATCTAATAAAGAGGGAATATGCTAATTGACCCTCATGCCATTGCAAAGATGGTGGCGCCCACAGCCAATAAGGAGGGAATATGCTAATTGACTGCCATGCCCTCAAAGATGGTGGCACCCACAGCCACAAGATATCCCCTCAACCCCGCCAGAGTGGCAGGCACACAGCAAGGCCTCCAGAGTCTTCTAGTCCTCTCAGCCCCCCAGCCACCCAGGGCCGGCCCAAGGCACAGGCAAGCCTCAGATGTCAGCTGCCCAGCCACCCAGGGCCGTCCGAGGCTCAGGTAACCAGGGCTGGCTGAGGCTTGCGCTGCCAGCAGTGGCAGCAGCAGAGGTGTGATGGGGAATCACCTTCCCCTGATTGTCAGGTCGCCTCCAACCCCTGAGGACTCCTGGAGTATGAGAGGGGGCAGGCCGGGCTGAGGGACCCCCCTCCAGTGCATGAATTTTCATGCGCCGGGCCTCTAGTCTTAAAACTAGGAGGCCAGCGTGTGATTCGAAATCGCGTGGCGCCACCCACCCTCGAGTTGCTGGTTCGGCCCTGCCTTCCTCTCCATCCCTTGAAGCAGCCAAGGCTGCTGCTGATCAGGCCCTCCCCCAGCACAGGCGCATGGAGGCCCCTCCCACCCTGCCCCCGACACTGCATGTGAAACCTCCTCCTGTCTGGTCGACCTGTTAAGGCGTCCTGGTTAATTAGCATATTTCTTTATTTTATATATATATATATCATGCTATATAAGTCTTATGGGGTGGAGGGCAGCATTCAGACTAAGAGGACACAGATCTAGGAACTGTTATTTTTGATAGGTTGGTCGGGAAAGTTCTCACTGAGGTGGTTCCATTTGAAATGGTAAGACAGAGCCCTGTGGATATTTGAGAAAGGAGTGTGTCAGGCAGAGGAAACAGCAGGGGCAAGGCCCCAAGCAGGAGGCACTTGCTATGCTGGAGAAACCCCAAGTAGGCCAGCTGGGCTGGAGTGAGCTGGAGGGATGGATGGAGACATGAGGTCCGAGAGGTGGTGGGGAAGAGCAGGTCCCCTTTTCGGCCATGGTAAGGATGTTGTGTTTTAGTTTAAGAGTGTGGAAGTCATGGAAAATTTGAGGCAGAAGAATCAGGGATGTGATTTAAACAGATCATCTGGCTGCTATATGTAATTAGCAAGCATGGCAAAGGAGTCGAAACAGCCAGATGAGTTAAGGACATGGTGAGGGTATGGGAGCTTCACCACTGTCCTTCATGGTAACCAGTCTCTACCAGCCCTGACTCTGGTCTCCTGTAGTTCAGGCTCTGCCTTGGACCTGGAGCTTCTCTTAAGTCAAGGCCCACTCAACCCATTTCTGACATCCCACAGCACTTGGCACATCTTATTGAGTGTCTGTTTACTCTTTTGTCTCCCTCTCTAGACTGGGAGCTTCTTAAAAGCAGGGTCTGTGCCTGCATCGTGTTATATGATTTTCCCAGCATGATGACTAGCTCATAGCGGGCACTCAATAAACGTCAGCTGGGTGAATGGTGAATGGTCAGTGGCATCTGGCTCATTTTCCTCAAGACATAGTCAGATTTGGTTCACAAGGGGCACTTGAATTTAGAATTCATGGAATTATTATTCCATATCCTTGGCTATTACTAATACCTGGTTTCTGTCGCAGGAGAATTTAAAACCTGCACAATCCTCTTTAGCGATGTGGTGACATTTACGAACATCTGTGCTGCCTGTGAACCTATCCAAATAGTGAATATGCTGAATTCAATGTACTCCAAGTTTGACAGATTAACTAGTGTCCACGAAGTCTACAAAGTAAGTGTCTGTGTCCTGCGGGGCGTGTGTCTGTGCTCTCGGGCAGGCAGGTCCTCAGTTGCAGGCCTCTCTCTTTACTGGTCTGGTGTTTGGTGTGGATGAGAGCAGGGTGAGGAGAAAGAGCTCAAAGGGAATTGGAAGTATTTTATAAATTTTAGTTTCTTAGGAATCCCTCATAATACCCAATACTAAGATGCTTGGGGGGGGGTGGGGGGGGGGCACACTGTTTTCCCAGAGAGGAGTCCTCCTACTACTTAAATTTAGCATCAAATCTAAACCCAAATAATGCATATTGAATACACGGCATCTTACACCTACCCCAGCAGCTTCATCTTCCCTGTGATTTGTTTCTATCAGAAGCAGAGAGGCCTTTTGGCTTTCTCTTGGTTGTTTTCTGAGTCATTTTTCTTCCCACCTCCTTCTTCACACTCCTCATACCCCTAGCAAATAGTTACCACCCCTGATATGGTCCTTCTACCAACATGTGAAAAATGACAAGAATATCTAGTGATATGTTTGGTGCATCTAGGAAAACCTCTGAATACCCTCTTTTCCTTACAGGTGGAAACAATAGGAGATGCTTATATGGTGGTCGGGGGTGTTCCGGTACCTATTGGAAGCCACGCTCAAAGAGTGGCTAATTTTGCTTTGGGGATGAGAATTTCTGCAAAAGAAGTGATAAATCCTGTTACTGGGGAGTCCATCCAGGTAGAGAGCAAGTGGATGATTGCTTAATACCAACCATCTCACACAAAAAAGTAGAATTCTTCTTATTTGTCTGCTTAAATGATTCCTGGGTATGTTACAGTAATTCAAGTGAATGATTTCTCCCAGCTCTTCTCTTGCATATGTTACTAAGTAATAGAGATATTCGTCAGGATATTATCATTCCAACTTCTCTCAAATTTCAGAAGAGGCTTTGGAGCTCAGGATTTTCACATGATTCACTGCAAGTTTCTCTGCCCATAATTTAGGACAGTGCTGAGCACGCCTCGTCATTTACTTTGTAGGCTTCCATCCATGTTGGAAGCCAGCTCATTTATAATTCCACCTTTTTGTTCACACATTTCAACAAGTGGTCAGGTTCACTCACTAGCCAACTTTTCCTGCTTAGAAAATTGTGAATCCCTCTTGCTGTTTGACAGGTTCAGAACCCAGGCTGAGGTGTGAAACTGTCTCCCACCAGCAGGCCAGACACCATGGTGCCATAAGATATTCACAATAGCTTTCCTTCCACCACATGGCCATTAGGGAGACATCTGCTCTCCTTTCTCGCAGGAAGCTATTCGTGCAGCTAGTTCACTCTATAAAAGTTGGGCAATTTAGGAAATGAAAAGTAAGTGTCCCCTTCTGTCTGCTCAGCAGATCCTAACTGTCCTGAGATGGCTTAGAACAGTGTTTCTGCCTTTTAAAATGTAAGCACTTCCCTCTTCTAATCAGTCAGATCTTCAAGTAGCCAACTAAACAGAAATAAAGCCAATTGTAGGATGGAATAAACCCTTATGCAGGAGACTCTGAAAATGTGTTCTACTCACCCTCACCACACTAATTTCGAAGCTGAGAAATGCTGCAGATACTGGTCATTGTGTCCACTGTAGTCTTCTGAGTGAAAGTTGGCTTTAGGTAATTGCAAGAACATTATGTCTACAATACTTGGCCTGATGTATGCACACAGATACACCTGTTAAATAAAACCTCCAATATAAGAAATAACAAATTAAGATGAAAGGGAATGAGGGGAGTAGAGAATATGTTTAAAAGACTAATGGAAGCTATCAAAGAAAAAATGATTGAAAATATACTATTGTGTAAATAGTGTGTGTGTGTGTGTGTGAAAGAAGCATAGCAGCAGAGGTATAAATCATGCTACAATGGTAAGAATGAAATTAAACAGTAAATTACTGGAAACTCTCATGGTGGGTTTACCAAGAAAAACAAACAAACAGAAAAAGGTATTGTCATTTCTAAGATAAGAATAGGGACATAATTAGGAGCATCTTTAAGTATCCATCAGAACAGCATGTCATGTGGGTTTATTTAAGGCAGTAGGAAAAGGACTAGAGACATTTTCTCTCTTAATATAATTGTGCTGCATTTCTTTTCTTTTTTTTACAAGATAATGAAACAAAGACAATTTTATTCAAATTCTCAAAAACTGTTACTCAATGTGCTGTTTCTAAAATGTATGTCATCCTTTATGTAATGATTTTATTATTTTATCTTTCTTTTATAGCTGTTTTTGTTTTTGTTTGGGGGGTGGTTTTTATTTTTATTTTTATTTTTGGCTTTTCTTTATAGTCTTTCAGTAGAAGCCAGAGTCTTAAGTTGACCAGTTAGCATACTCTGGCCTACTATTCTGACTAAATTTCTTCTCAATATTCATGGCCAACATCTGGCTTCTAAATGAAAGGCTTTTGGTCTTTTCAATCACTTGCTGATAGGGTAAGACTGCATTGTTACCATAACTACATGAATAATTTAGAATCAATCTTGGCATCCAGTTACAATCCACCTTTAGCTTCTTTTGTTGTCATATTCAGTTTATTTCATATTTCATTTCTACAGTTTTAAAATTAGTACTCTTTGAGATCTATTATTTAATTCATATAGCCTTTAATATACATTTGCAGAGGTCGTACGATGCATGAGACAGTATTACTAGGTGCTTTGAAGGATTCAGAGAAATATATTAAAGGCTCCTTTTCCTAGAGGAATGTATAATCATATTTCAGGAGAAAATCTATAATGAAAACAAAAAGAAAAGTAAAACTGGTTAAGATGTAGAAAGCTGCAAGAGCTATTTGCATACTAGAACTTAAAAAACAAAAAAACAACAACAACAAAAAAGGAGCAAAGAAATATAAATGAGCTAAATTCTAGAAAATGTCAAGCCCTTTCAAGGAGAAGACACCCATAATTACATTCACCTCTAGTAGAGCGGCAGAAGTAATCCACCAGAATTGAGGGTAAGGAGAAACCAGTCTAAATTTTAGTGAACATGTTATGGCCACACTGGGGCTGAAATGAAAGGTTAGAATCTCCCAAATCTTGTCTTTGATATGTCCTGGCCACAGAGGCTGTACCCATCTACCAACTCTTTTCCATAGACCTTCACCAAGTACATAGGGTTATTCAGCCAAAGGCGAGGGATAAGAAAGGAGAGTTGAGAGAGATCTCAGTTCCTGAGGTATATAGGGCCTTCCCCAAATGCAAGGGTGTGGCCTATGGAAGGGTGGTGTTAGAGAAGAAGAACTAAGAGAAATCCCTCTGAGGTACTCTTGGAGTTCACCAAATACATTACAATGACCCTTTGAAGTCTGGAGGCAGAGAGAAATCTCCTCAGGTAGGGAGAGCCATTGTAGGACTGATGAGGTTCTCAGAACTTTGCTGGTGTTCAGATCCCGAGCTCTGCTGAGTGAAAGTCCCTATCCAGTCTTTGTAACATTTGAAATCAGTGCTCTGTAGAAACCAGCAATATACCTGGAAAAAGCCAAGACCCCACTCAGATACAGATTAGTTCATTCAGTCTCCACTCTAGCAGTCTGACAAAGAATGACTATAAACTTTTGTGATGGGTAAATATTACCTACCTCAGTCTCTATTGTACGTTCACACACAATATGAGACATATAATTAAATAATTTAAAATATGAGATGCAAGAAGACACAATAAATGGTGATGTTGTGTATAGCCAAGAGAAGAAATAGTTAATAGAAGCATGTCCAGAGATGGCTTAGATATTGGAATTACTAGACAGAGTCTTTAAAATAACTATGATAAATATTTTAAAGGATCTATTGGAAAGGGGGAAGAAGTTTGAATAGATTGGAAACACACACACACTTTATCTACTCTCTCTATTCTCTATCTATTATCTATCTGTCTATCAACCTATCTATTAATCAATCTATCTATCTGGCCCATGGAAATAAAAACCATGATATCAGAAATCAGAAGTAAAGAATTCATTTTATGGTGTTAAAAGAGACTAGACAAAGTAGAGGAAAGGATCAGAGATTGTAAAAGCAGAGCAATAAAAAATCCAAACTGAAACACAAAGAAGAAAATTGTAGGAAAAAAAAAAAAGAAGAAGAAGAAGAAGAAGAAGAAGAAAGAAACAGAGCATGCTACATCTGTAGGACAATATGAAACGGACCACCATATGTGGAACTGGAGTCCTAGAAGGAAAATAGAATGAATAGAATGAATGAGAATGGCTCAGAAGAAATATTTGAAGAAACAATGGTTGAAATTTTTCAATATTTATGAAAGATATCACCCCACATTTCTAAGAGCTTAGCAAACCACAATAGGATAAATACAATACATATAATATATAGTCACATACAGTGGGGCCTTGACTTATGAGTTTAATTCGTTCCGTGACGGAGTTCGTAACTCAAATTACTCGTATGTCAAATCAATTTCCACCATTACAATGACACGTGATGCTGGGCTGATGTTGTGGCGTTCACTGTGACGTTCGCTGCGCCAACTAGCGGTGGGGTATCTGAAGCTGGCTCGTAACCCGAATTTTAGCTCGAAACTCAAAGCAAAAAATCGGCCGAGAGACGGCTCGTATCTCGAAAAACTCGTTAGTCGGGACACTCGTAAGTCAAGGCCCCACTGTATATAAAAAATCCTACCAGTGCATTAAGGCAAAAAAAATATAAGACATAAAAACTGGAAAGAGAGAAGTAGAATGATCATTATTCACAGCACAAATAATGGTGCATCTAATAAACCTTAACAAGCTATAGTAAATTACAAGATCTAAATAGTAAGTCTATCAAGGTCTCAGTATACAAGGACTATACACAAAAAATATTTGAATTTTTATATTCTAAGAACAAAAAGTTAGAAATTAAATAAAAACAAACTATTTATATCTAGTCTTAAATCTTAGAAAAGAATAAAATTGGAAGACATAGAATACCGAATCTCAATACTTATTCTAGAGTAATAGTGACAGGGTAGAATTGGCAGAAGGATTAAAAAATAAATCATTGGAGTAGTATAGAGTGCCTAGCAGTATAGAGTACATATTTAAGGTCAATTAATTTTTTACCAAGGCATCAAATCAATTCAGTGTGGGAAGGAACCCTTCTTGAGAAATGTTTCTGTTACAATTTAATAATTTAATAAAGAAAAATGTACCTCAAACCTCCCTCACTTTATATATATATAATTAATTTAATATGTATTACAGACCTAACATAAATTCTAGAACTATAAAGCTTCTTCAAAGCAAATATAGGAGAATAGCTTCGTGTCTTTGGGGTAAGCATTTATTTCTTAGATAGGACACAAAAAAGCACTAACAGTAAAAGAAAAAAAAGATAAACTTCAATATTATGGGCCAATTGTGCCCCCCCTGAAATTTACATATCTACATGTAACCAAGTACATAGGGTTATTCAGCCTAAGGCTAGGGATAAGGAAGGATAGTGGAAGAAGAAAGAAATATTCACAGATCATTATTTGGAGGCAGGGCCTTTACAGAGGTGATTAAATTGAGATGAGGCAGTTAAGGTGGGTTTTAATCCAGTCATACTGGTGTCTTGATAGAAAGAGAAAATTTGGATACATGAACAGATACCACAGATACATGCAGACAGGGAGAAAACCATGCAAGGATACAGTAAGCAGTGGCCACCTGCCAGCCAAGGAGAAAGGCTGCAGAGAAACCAAACCTGCTGACATCTTGATCCTGGACTTCCAGCCTCTAGAACTGTGAGAAAGTAAATTTCTGTTGTTCAAGCCACTCAGTTTGTGGTATTTGGTTATGGCAGCCCTAGTGAACCAATATGTTCTTAGAATTTTACATTTCTGTATATTAAAGAAATTGAACATACAAAATCACAAAATGGAACAAATATTTATAATGTATATATTACATATCTAAATATATATAGAACGCCTATATATAAATAATAAAAGATAACTAAATTTTTTTAAATGAACAAAAATCTTGAAAAGACTTTTCACAAAAGATATATGAATGGACAATACATACATGAGAATGTGTTTAGCATCATTAGCCATCAGGGAAGTGCAAATTAAAACCACAATGAGATATCATTTCATACCCACTATAAGACCAAATGGTGGTGAGACTGAGAACAACTGGAATTGTCACATTGCTCATAGGAATGTAGAATGGTTTTGACTTTGGAGAGTTGTTGGACAAAGTTTCTTTCACTTTTCTTTTTTTTTTTCCTTTGGAAACATTAAATATACATCTACCTTGTAACACAGAAATTCCACTTCTGGGTCTTTACCTGAGAAAAATGAAAATGTATGTCCATAAAAGGATCAGTACAAGAATGTCCCTAACAGCTTCAAACTGGAAATAACCTAATGTTTATGTTTGGGAATAGGAGACTGAATAAATAAATTGTGATATATGCTTACATTAGAATAGTATTGAGCAAAAAAGGAATGAACAACCGGTATATACAACAGTATGGTGAATCTCAAAGACATTATATTGCATAAATGAAGCCTGATTCAAAACAGGATATCCTACATAATAAAAGCCTATATGCTAAGTGTCCAGTCGACTGGTTGGCCATTCAACCAATCAAAGCACAATATGCTAATGATATGCTAAGCCTGCTCAACAGCTCGCTATGACATGCACTGACCACCAGGGGCAGACAGTCGACTGGTTGACCAGTCACTATGACGTGCACTGACCACCAAGGGGCAGACGCTCCAACCAGTAGGTTAGCTTGCTGCTGGGGTCCGGCCAATCGGGACTGAGCGAGATGGGCCAGTCATGCCCTGGAGCCTTCCTGTAGTCCCTCCCTGCTGGCCAACCTCCCACATCACTCCCCGGCCCCAATCGTGCACCGGTGAAGTCCCTCGGCCTGGCCTGTGCCCTCTCTCAATCCGGGACCCCTTGGGGGATGTTGGAGAGCCGGTTTCGGCCCGATCCCACAGACCAGGCTGAGGGACCCCACTGGTGCACGAATTCATGCACCAGGCCTCTTGTGCTATATAATACCATTTACGTGAAGTTCTAGAACAGGCAAATTAATCTATGGTCAAAGAAATAAGAAGGTGATTGCCTCTGCTGAGAGGATAGAACTGAACTGGAAGGAGCCCAACATATTTTATGAGATCTATATTAGCTAATCTATAATTTATTTTGGATGGTGGCTATAGGATAAACACATTTGTTGAAACATTTAAGATCTTTTATTTTATGTAAATTATTCCACAGTTTAAAAATAAGAGCAAAAATATTTGATGGTCTCTTTTCAGTGAGGTTCTCTCTTTACAGATCAGAGTAGGGATTCATACTGGACCGGTCTTAGCAGGTGTCGTGGGGGACAAGATGCCGCGGTACTGCTTGTTTGGTGACACTGTGAACACAGCTTCTAGGATGGAAAGTCATGGGCTTCCCGACAAAGTGCACCTCAGCCCCACAGCCTACAGGTAACCACTCACTCACTCATGCTCTCCTTTGTGCCTTCTCCTTCCAGAACTTACAGAGGGCCTAGCAGCCAGGAGATTGGGTAGTGGAGGAAACCCGTGTTTTCTCTTCCACGCCACACTAGCTTACAGAAGACATTGTGTCAGACAATAGATATTGTTGAGCCTCTGCTATAAGATAGTTTTGCTCTCAAGGAGCATAAAATCTAGATGTATATTTAATATTACCAAAAAAAATAGCCCAGAGGCCAAATTCAGTCTGCCACTTTATGTTTATTTTCATAAATAAAGTATTACTAGAACACAGCCATGCTCTTATTTACACACTGTCTATGGCTGTTTTCATGTTACAACAGTAGAGTTGAGTAGTTGTGAAAGACTGGATGGCCCACAAAGCCAAATATATTTACTATCTGTTTATTTGTTTGTTTGTTTATTTAAAATACCTTTTTATTGATTTCAGAGAGAGGAAGGGAGAGGGAGAGTTAGACACATAAATGATGAGAAAGAATCATTGATCAGCTGCCTCCTTCATGCCTCTTACTAGAGATGGAGCCAGCAACCAGGGCATGTGCCTTGAGTGGGAATTGAACGGTGACCGGAATTGAACGGTGACCGGAATTGAACGTTGATTCATGGGTTGACTCTCAACCACTGAGACATATGGGCTGGGCTGCTATCTGTTCTTTTACAAAAAAAGTTTGCTGACCCTCAGTCTAGTGCAGCGGTTCTCAACCTGTGGGTCGCGGACCCTTTGGGGGTTGAATGACCCTTTCACAGGAGTCACCTAAGACCATCGGAAAAAACATATATAATTACATATTGTTTTTGTGATTAATCACTATGCTTTAATTATGTTCAATTTGTAACAATGAAAATACATCCTGCATATCAGATATTTACATTATGATTCATAACAGTAACAAAATTACAGTTATGAAGTAGCAATGAAAATAATTTTATGGTTGGGGGTCACCACAACATGAGGAACTGTATTAAAGGGTCGCAGCATTAGGAAGGTTGAGAACCACTGGTCTAGTGGAAGAAGAAAGAAATATTCACAGATCATTATTTTAAAAGTGTGATAAATGATAGAGTTATACATAAAATGATACTTATGGTTTTTTGAGAACTTACAAGAGGTCACATTCTGTCCCAAGTTTTTTTTTACATATGTTAGTTCATTTATTGTCACAACAATTCTATAAAAATATACTATTATTATTCTTATCTACAGATGAAAAAAATCAGGCACTAAAAGGTTAGTAACTAGTTGCCTCAGATCACAGGTAGGCTAGGAAGGAGAAGAGCTTGGATACAACCCAGGGGATCAGGCCTGGAGGGAATTACAGTGTGTGTGATGGGGCAAGGATGCCTAACCCAATAAAGAAATTCTTTGTGGAGGAGGATATTCCTGAGTGGAATCTTGAGCAAGGAGTTCCAGAGTAGGATTTAGCTCAAATTGGGGTATTGGGAGTGAAAAACAAGCAGGATAAACACTGAGGTAGAATCAGTACAGAGATTTATAAACAATTTAGCTTACCGAGGGGCTAGGGCTTACACAGTAGGCGAGGAAGAGTCCCCAAGGAGGGTGAGAACACAGTGGCAAGGCCAGGGTCCTGTTTGAGCTCTTCGCTCAAAACCAAGTAACACAGATATGAGCATCAAGAAACGGGAAAGAGAAGAGCCGTTAGGAGTTTGATTTGAATCAGACATTGGCAGTGGGAATTTAGGGGAAGATAAAATCAGCTAAACTTGGTAATTACTAAAAATGGGGAACGAGAAAGAGGGAGATGCCTCAAATGTTTCCCAGGTCTCCACCTTGGGGGACTAGGGCCCGAACCTCATCATCTGAAATAGGACAGGTAAGAGGGAGTCCCGGTCATCGCGGCAGATGGCGAGTTCCGGTGTGGGAGTGTTGAATTCAAAGGAATTGTGGAACATCTAGGTAAAGGTGCAATGAAATGGATGAATAAAATCTGAAGTGGAGTTGTTGGTTGGGGGTGCAGACTTGGAGTAAGCAACACATAGGTAGTAATTAAGCCATGAAAGTCGGTAAGATCACCAGGGGAAGGATGCAGTGTGAAAAGAACAGCGGCAGGTGGAGAAAGAGGAGCCCGGGTATGAGGTGGAAGAAACAGAAAAGAACCAGGCATGGAAGTTCAGGGAGAGAAGTGCCCTTGTGGATATTTTTATGGGGGAGAAATTGAACAAACATGACAAATATAGTAACAGGACTGAAAAATATTCACCAGAGGTTTGGGGGGACATTTTCAGAAGTTGTGGTAGACTTGTGGGGATAGACACTGGATTATGGGTTGAAGGATAAAAAGAAGAGAGCATTTTGGGGGGATTAAAGCAGGATAGAATCAAGTGAGAAATTCTTTTGTTTCTATTTAGGATGAAGGAGATCTTAGCATGCTTACAGGCTGAGGGGAGGATGCAGATGGAGAGGGAGCTGAAGCTGAGGGGAGAGGTGGCTGATGGGGCCTGGGCCTGAAGAGGTGGCGAGGAAGCATGGACGGGGTGCTCTTGAACAAGACACCTCATCCTCTGAGACTGGGGAAAAGGGTGGATGTGGTCAATGAGATGAGCAGTTGCTGGGTCTCACCTATAATGATTAAACTTTCATAGATGAATCAGATCACAAGTTAGGAGGCACAGTCAGCTGCTTGAGAGTGAGGAGAGAAGGTGCCAAATGAGGGAAATTGAGGAGCGTGGTGAATGTCTGACACCTCCATGAAACTGGTCCAGGACAAGGGAAGGTTGATGACTGCTAAGACCTGGCTGAGGCAACTGACCATGAATTGGAAACATTTCTAGTTTGCACTGTTCTGTGGTTCTCCTCCAACATCTCTCAGCGGCCAGTTAATAAATAAACATTTTATAGTTTTTCCATAACTCTGTCTCTTTTCATGGTCCCCTTTTTCTCCTCTTCCTGGGTTCCTTGGCAGTCAGAACTCAAGGAGTAGCTTGGGTAGTTAGGATGAGCATGATGACACCTTGGGGGTATATCGGGGACTTGGAGAAGGTGGAGAGAAGAGGGCTGATCTCCTAGGAGCCCCTTGTTTCAGAACCATGCAGAGATGGTGCACACACGGGTTTGGGATGTGGCCGTAGAGGTGTGAGGGCTGCGGTCTGAGCCGGGTGCTAGAGGGAGGAGAGGTGGTGATCAGGTCACAGCGTTTTGGTGGGACCCCTGTGCTCTCCCTCTCCCTTCGGCACCCTGTTCAGATGTCTGAGCTCATGCCTCCCTCCTCCCCCCTCCTGCCTCTTTGTCCCCTTTAGCAGGCCCTACTGATGTGTCAGAGTCCCACTCCTCCGCTGTGTGCCCTGAGCCTCAGACATCTCCTCTCTCACTATCCGTCCCATTGTAGCCAACTCTCCCGTCACAGACCTGTGATCTTTGATATCTGGTGCATTTATTTTCCCTCTGTGCAGAGCCCTGGAAAACCAAGGGTTTGAAATAATTAAGAGAGGTGAAATCCAAGTGAAAGGAAAAGGGAAAATGACCACATACTTTCTGATCCAGAACTTGAATGCCTCAGAGGATGAGATCATGGGGAGACCTCAAACTCTGCTTGATCACAAAGGTAAGCCAAGAGAGGCCTCATTATGGGTGTGAATATTTTTCCCACTGACCATGTCAGACATGTTTAGTGAGGTCCTTCGGTTTGCAGGGTCAGCGTGGGTATCATCCGTCACCACAGCCAAGCTGTTACCTTCCATTCGGTAACAGCTCCAGAGAATCAATGCAGCCAATTTGCCCTGAACGCTCTTCCCTTGCATCCTGGATGTTATGCTATTCCTTGAGCCAAGCTGGTGGACAGTCTAAGGGTCTCTCACGCATTTGTTTTCAAGGCTCTTCCCTGTCCTAGAAATGAGCTTTTTCCATGAGCCTCTCCTGCAGCTGGGCGGGTTCCAGAGTCTTCCTCTGCTCCTCAGCCTCAGGGGCTTGGGAACAGGCTTTCCTCACACACTGGAACCTTTCACCTTCCTCATTTTCTGCTGGCTTCCAAAACTGGGAAGAAGGACAAAATCCGTGACTCACCCAGCTCCAGGAATGACAAAAGAGTGAGTTTAGGTTAAAACCACCTAGTGCTAAGCTGGACCAGAGATCACTGTTTGGCTCATTGTGCTCAAAAAAAGCAGCATATGCAACTCAACAAGGGGGTCTCCTTCAGCTGCAAGGTGGATCCCATCCACCCCAGGTGGTCAGGGCCCCTTAACAAGGATCCAGGTTAATGCTGGGACATACTGACAGCAAGGGAAACCCAGTAGCAGAAGGCAGACCATCATGAACCGCTGAACCAAACTGGAGAACAACATGGATTTATTTGGACAGAAACTAATCTTTAGCTGCTCCAGGGTCCTGCAAAGAAAAATTTCTAAATCCAGTGGTTTCTCATTTACATAGTTAATGTATGCAGGATGTGTCTTTGGGACATGGAATATGGCTATTATTCTTATAATTGGGGTAATACCAACAAACAGATGGGTATTTGAAGGAATTTTAAAATTGTTTTCACAGTGCTTTTATTCTATTACCAGCTCACTTTAGTGTCCCTGTGAGCTGCTATTGGTTTTGGCCACATTTTACTGATGGCGACACTGAGATAAATCTAAACTAAAAAATAGAAATAGCTGGCTAATAAAAGTCAGGAGCCACCCTGACTGCTATGCGAGCTTTTGGTCTCCGGATTTCTAGGCTGTAGGTGCCTTGCCCACCAACCTCATCTCTTCCTCCCCCCATATCCTCCCCACAATACAAAGGGTTGCTAGAGGGGGATAAACAACCATTTTGTCTATTTTTTCTTGGTTATCAGAAGCAGACACAGTGAAGGGAGTGGGGTGTTTTGTCCCCTCCTAGTGGGAGAGAAGAAGACAGAGCTGAAGGCTTTAGCACCAGGACCAGGAAGAACCTTGCTCAGAAGGCCTGCCTCGCTCAAACCTGACACTATTTTCTCCCATTCCCACTGCAGGGGTTCCTAAACTTTCCAGTTTGAAAAACGGGATTCTAGGTCTGGGTCAGTAGAATCTAACCTGCTTTCAGTTCTGAGCTGGAAAAACCAAAGAAAAGAAAAATAACCAAGTAGGAAACTTGTAATGGTGCCTCAACTGAAGATCTCAGTATGGACCCTGAGAAACGGGGCGGGGGGGGGGGGGGGCGTGCAGAGAGAGAGAGGTAGCCTCTCTCAGACGCAAACAGTGTCTCTGTGCAAACTGGGAAGTAGGTAGCCCCCTGGCATGGCTTATAATAGAGTCACCCCTTCCTCTGGGCTGACACCAGCGCCCCCCGCCCCCCAGCCTGATCCCCTTGGCCAGGTACTAGTACCTCCAAAGAGAAATGGCAAAACCTAGTGTGTGGAACCCAGAGTGGAGGTCTCAGCCTTTCTTTTTGTGCTTCTGTGCCTTTCCCTCGCCCTTTCCTCGTCAGCCTAGGATTCCCGCGGGCAGCCTAAGCCTCCAGGGGCGCCTGCCTCTCCTTGCCTGCCCTCCTGTCCCCACTGGAGTGCAGCCTGGGAGGTTCTGGCAGGAGCTAGAAGGCCGGGAGACCCTGGCTGACACTGCTTCCTAAATGTCTCAGAGGCTCCGGAATGTGACCCCACTAACCAGCAGGGGCGGAGTTTCTCAAAGCCAGTGACGGAGGAGGGGACGCAGAAGCACTAAGATGCATGCAATGCACTTCCCAAGGGCGCCTCTTTCTCAGATGGGCTCCCACGGCACACACACTGGCTTTTCGGGCGATTCAGGGAGGCCTGGGAGGGACACCAAGATGGACTTGAGGAGATTTGAATGCGCACCCCGTGCTGAGAGCCAGGCGGTAGACCAGCAGGCGGTGGCAGGTGCCTCAGCAGCGCCCTTCCTGTGTCCTCACGGGTGAACCGCCCCTCTCAACCCGCCTTGCCCCCGACAGGACGATCCCCAGGAGGCAACAGGAACAAGAAAGGATGGCGTCCAGGAGAGCTCTTCCCCAAGCCTTTTTCCTTTTCCCCCTTTTGCTCTCCAAAGCAGGGGATTTGCTCCTCCTTCTTCCAGGTGGTGAATGCATTATACACACCAATGTCCTGTGGCCTCCCCAGCAGTGATGTCGCCCAGTGGGCACTCCTGTCTGTCCAGTCCTTCGCGATGGGCACCTGAGCGAATCCCAGGGGCTGCTCATGTCAGAGGCACCGCTAGGGAAGGCTGCTCGCACGTGTGTTCTCACTTTTCCTTCTCCTCATGCTTTTTGGCAGGAGCTAGTGCTCAAGACAGTCAAGACAGCGAAACTGTGGCGGTCACAGGGGTCATGAGATACGCAGACAGCCTGCAGCTGCTCCCGCAGAGAGACGCCGGCCGCGGTGAGTGCCAGCTGTGCTGCGCGTGGAGAGGGCTGCGCGTGGAGAGGGCTGCGGGCTCAGAGTGCGGCTCCTGGGAGACAGAAAGAGCCAGCAGCACAGCTCGTGCGGAGTTTGGGGTCCTGGGCCGGAAGCCTTGGACTAGCTGCTTACTGCATTTTGAATAAGTTTTTTAATGCTTTCCCAACCCACTCACCTCCCCACCCCAACTGTCCCAGGGAGGCCCCTCTGAGTATCTCTAATGCTCAGAAAAACTAATAGTCTCCACGCCCCCACTAAATGAAGTAACTCTGCACACTGCCCGCACTGCGCGCCTCCTAATGAGAAGTGCGGCCACCTCCTCGCCTTGCCACCCTACGGTGCTTCATAGAGAACTCAGATCCCTGGCACTGCCACAGAGAGTTGGCCCCATGATCCCCCTCCCCACTTTGTCCTTGAAGGTGGGAGGGAGGGGAGGTTTCTCCCAATTCATGCTGCTCTTAATTGCCCTGGTGAGCCACTCGGCTCCCTCGGGAGGGAGCTGTTCTCGGGCACAGCTTGGTTTTGAGGGTGGGTCACAGGAACTGATGAAGGGCCAGGGAGGGCCTGCAGAATGAGTCCCTGTAGCAGCAGCACCCCCACACCTCTCCTTTCTGGGTTGTGCAGCCCCTGCTACCCTCTCCCTTTCTGGAAACCCCACCTTAAACGACCCAAATGGAGTGAAGCTTTGAGACAAGGCAGCAGGGTATGTCTGTGACAGAGTACAGTGTCCCAGGGATTTTTCAAAAACCATCCGTGGTCACTGAGAAAGTGTCATAAGACAATGGACAATTCATGTGAAGAGTTAGAACAGTTTAATGATTCATATAAAGAGTTAGCTATTGTTACTTTTATTAGACAATGTCTCTTAGATTGAGTATCACTTGAGCCCTTGGCATTGGGCATCGCCCAGATGCCTGAAGACTTCTCTCTAGTTTGATCCCAGTGCCTGAGGTTGAGGGAATGATCAGCACCCTTCTGTTCAGTTCTGGTGAGAGGAGACCGAGCACAGCTTTCCTCCTCCTGATCTGGAGTCAGGTGGATCCTTGGGTTCTGGGAAGCTCGAAGCTCGAAGCGGACTTTGTGCCCTTACCCAGAGGCACTTCCTACAGTTGCCTGCTTCTGAGAGTGCTCAAGCCCCGATAGCCGTCAGTGCTATTACAGTATGGAATTAGTCCCATGGCTATTCTCAGAACACAGGTAAGAAACTAGAAGTTCAGAAAGGTCATATAATTTATATAACAGCCCACAACTCATAAGCGGGAGAAATAAGACTTGATCTTCAGGCTTGTTTGTGTGGGGCCGACCATGTCCATGTGAGCCCTCTGAGTAACAGACCAAAGTGATTTCATTTACCCCAAGTGGGAGGCTGCTGCACATGGACTGCTTGGCTTCACAATGGCCCAGCCATGCTTCTCTCAGATCCTCTGGGCCCCATTTGAACAGATTTCTGATTATTGGGTGTGGCTGGCAGATGCATTAATATGGAATAGCTGACACACTGTAGGGACTGATATAAACATGAGCCAGAGGCTTGGAGAAATGAGAACCAAGCCAGTGGGCCATAGGGGCTCACTTTAGCTATCCAAACCCAGACTTACCAAGTCAGAACTGCTTTTAACAACTTCCCCAGTTTAATTTAACCCAACACAGGCTTCTTCCTTATCTCTAATGGTTGGCAGCAGACACAGAATTTAGCCTTGAAGGTTTTGTACCACCTGCTCTCAGCGCCCGGCCTTTCATCGATGTTTAGGTCCCAGTTCTCATGGGGTTTGGCTAGATCTGATAATGTCATACTTAGCTGTGAGGTAGGTGAAGGCTGCCAGGGTCACTGCAGAACCCCCACTCTCACCCGCAGCCCCAGGGCCATTCCGCCTGGCCCCCACGTGGACGTCATTATGGGAAAGTTTCCACCAGTAGCCCAAACCTGTCAGGGCTCCCAAATTAAGTGGCTGTTAGATCTTGCTACCTCAGAGATCTGCCTGTTTCCCAGGCACTAGGCAGTCGGGAAAACATTCCAGGCTCAACTCATTGATCACGTCTGCCACAGAACTCACAGGTTATATTACCTGGTTGACAAACTTATGACCGCTCTCCAGGGGCATTTCCATCTGACTTGGCTCCCTGGTGTGGGAATCAGCCTTGCTCTCCTGTGAGGACTCTTTCTCCTGTGAGGTCTCAGGGTCCTGGCAGCACACGCAGCTGCGGTGGTGGCAGGAGAACACCACCTGGACCCCTCTCGAGGGCCAGCTGAGATGGGATGCTCACC